AAAAAAAAAAAAAAACAAAGAAAGGAAATAAAGAAAAAAAAGAAAGAAACAAGCAAGGCACTGTAGGAATTAAAGGCCAACATTTGAAAATGGATACACTATCAATAACTTTTTGGAAGTGTGTATAAAGTGGCTGAAATTGAGCCTTCTAAAATTTCTTTAAAAGTTATCTTTTAAAATGTTTTATTACACCTTTTATTCTGATGTTTTGCCATGTGTTTAACAGAATATATTCTTGCTTTTACAAATTCAAGTATTAATTTCACTTTTACCTGTTGCAGCCATTAGTCTGTGAACTTTAGATATGATATCAAGTAGACTAGATCGATAGAAAAAGTAGTATTCAGTAAAGTGCAACTTATTTAATATAACTATTTAATTGTAAGAACCCAGTTATTCTTACATAAAATGATTAGAGGATCTGAAACACCAACAGACTATCCTTTTGTTTGGCAAATGTAGAACACTCAGGCTTTGCTACTTAAGTGAGCATCTTATAAGCTATGTCTCATCTCTAGTGTGGCAAAAAAATTCCCATACAGAGCGAGAACATTCTCTTTGAGTAATGACTTCTTGTGCAAGAGTGAAAGATTATATGTGGATGACCCTTTATCCCTCATTTTTTCCTCTTCTACAGGTGGTCGCTGCCATAAGTCTTGCACAGGCCGATGCTGGGGACCTACAGAAAATCACTGCCAGACTTGTAAGTGTTCATCAGTGAAAAGGCATGGTTGTGAAATGGTCAAAAATTTTAGTAATTGATTCTTTTCACGGTTCTGGTCATGCAACCATGACAATGAGATCTTTGCCTTCTTGTAGTAGATTTGCTTCTGTGGAAAAAAACAGCCTAATACCATTGCTTTCAAGTGGAATATAAAATATAATTTGATTCTTATATTTATTTATGGTTTCTAGGTTAATGATTTTACAACATAGCAGTGGGGATACTACCTGTGACCTCAGACTCTCTATATCTGTAAAAGTAGAAAATTGAAATGCGTCCAAAATGAAAACAATTCAACTTCAAGTAAATGGATATTTTACTACTTCTCCCATATATTTATATTATCATTCATTGATGAGAAAAAGAAAAAAAAGTCAGTGTACTGTGTATCTGCTGTAGTCCAGGCACTGTTCAAGGCACACAGATATGATCTTTGAATTATGGACATGGACTGACTCTTGTTATTAATGAATTTTGGTCTTAGATCATGTTTCTTGGGTTAGTCGTTAATTTCTAAAGGTAGTAGAAGGCTATGGTTGCTGTGACATTTAATAATAAAATGTAGTGAACATAAAGATAAATATCTAACATTTGCAGTATTTCTAGCTTCATATTATACTCAAATGAACTCTGAACATTCACTAATCTTCAGGACAAGCAAGTTCCCTTAAAAATGGAAAACAAAATGCTCTCTACAAGTGGTAAATATCTGTTGTTCTCCCTGTAATGCCAACCACTGAAAAGACGTATAGAGAACAGTGTGGTGACAGTCTCAAATGTACTCTTTCTTAGAATAGAAGACAAAAAATATATTGAACATTTGAACATGCAAATATTAGATATTGCGGTAATCTGTTAGAAAGTTGTATGAAAGTTTAGAGGTTTCTAATTTGTCACAGTTCATGATATTTGCTACATTCTGTTTCAATAAAGAAATACAAAACGAATTACCTTATTGTAAGCCACCAAAGGAAAAAAAGTATAGGAAAATATATATTCTCAGTGATTTCTTGAATTTATTTTTAAAATTCATGAGCATTCTTATATTCAAAATTCATAAAACTTAAGAGAACAAAGTAGCCTTTATCTTCGCATCTGTGCCTCACGTTTGTCTCTCAGCCATCAATAGGCAACACTTACTATTAGCAGTTTTTTAAATATCTTTAAGGATAATTTATGCATACTCAATATGTGTCCTACCCATTTTCATACAAATGCTGGCCTGCTTTGCTTGTTTTACTCTTGGATAATCGACTTTCAGTTATTGTTATGAAATATCTGACATAATTAGCATATAAGGAGAATAAGTTTATTTTGGCTCATGGTCCTGGAGGCCCTTTGACTGTCACTAACAGTTAGGCCCTTTGACTTTGGGTCTGCTGCAAGGCAGCATGTTATGGCAGGGCATACGTGGCAGAACAAAACTGTTCACCTCATGGTAGAAAGTGAAAAGGAAGACACGGCTAGGTTCCCACAACCCCATTTAAGGGCACACTGCCAATGATTGAAGGCCACTACTCTGCCCACCCCGGAGTTCCACCCCTCCCATGACACCATGGCCAGGAGACCAAGCATTATCAGATGACCCTCTGGGGATATCAAAACTCCAAACTATAGAGTACTGCAACTTGGTGTTTCATTCCACACATATATTCATGAATTATTTGTATATCATTTCTTTAAAATGACATTGGTAGGGTCCCAACAAATGTATTTGTAGTTTGGTAGAGATCATCAACATAGAGATCTCATTCGCTGTAGAGACTCCTCTGCCAGGAGCGATGTGAATGAATGCCTGTCCCTCAATTCTCTGGATAAATCAGCACATTATCAAGTTTGTGTGTCCTTGTCAAAAGGTTAGATGAAAAATAGTATCTCAGAGTAGATTTAAATTAACTTATTTAATGGAAACAGCGCTTTCTCACAGGAATGTTTTGACAAGAATTTTAAAAGGATTCTACAGTAAGATTAGACTACTGTCTGAAATTTACTCCCTACAATACTTGGAGACAATATTTTAATAGCAAAAAGTCAAAACCAGGAAGTGCACAAGGCCAGGATGACACTGATGTGGCCACTGTCAGAGGTTCCGATCTCTGAGACAGTTGAGGTGTTGTGGTACTCCACGGTGAAGTGACAAGTAACCACGGAAATCGTCGACGAACGTAGAGATTCTTGGTTTGTCATGGCCAGAGCTAAACCAAACCAAACCTAATCAAAGCAAAACAAGCACCTACTGAGCTGTCCATCTTAAAAATGAGCTGTTTTGAACTAACCTCCTTTATCTTTGTTTTTATGTTAAAGAGCTGTCAAAGAGGCTTCCTTTGCAGCCTGCTATTTGTGCTGGGCACTCTGGCGGGACTACCAAGCTAGATCCAGGGCAATGAAGGTGCTTAGATCTGAGAAATGCTGGTACAGGGCCAGGTCTCCTCCTTCTCTTGGGTAGGGAGACTTCAGATACCTTGCCCTTGTGCTGTTCTTTGTGCCCTCCCTCCAAAATCAGAATGCCCCCTCTCCTCCCCATTCTGAGTTCTCCTATGGTTGCCTCTGGCATTATGTTCAGAGTCTTTAGTTAAATGTAATGGGCAGGGAGAGACAAGCCTATGTGATCTGTGCTAGATGAGAATTCCTGTGTAATACTTTCAGTATGATTCATAAATTACACTAAAATAAAATAAATTTAATCGATAATTTTTATTTTGACACATTTTAGGTATTTTTGTAGAATACAAAATACAGCAAAATAATTAGAAGATAAAAGTATGTTATATGTTACGTTTTTATGTGTGGGTGGAAATATCTCTGATTGGGACGTATGAGTACTGTGGGAAGATAGCATGGAAAGGCAACGTATATAGGCTTCCCCAGATTTGATCTAAAATGATCTTTCACTTTACACAGTGTCCAAATAACTGAAACTTTTAATTTTGTTGACCAGATCTGATTATGATGGCCAAAACTTACAAAAGACATAATTTCCATCAACATCTCTTATTTTTATAATAAAGTCAGGCATGGTGGTGCATGCCTGTAATCCCAGCACTTGGGAAGCTGAGGCAGGAGGATCACTGTGAGTTCAAGACCAGCCAGGGCTACATAGTGAGTTCCAGGTCGGTGTCAAATACATAGTGAGACCCTGTCTCAAAAAACAAAACAAAACAAAACAAGATTCTTATTTTTATAATAGGAAAACACTCCAGATAATTTCGAAGCAGACACATGGCTTTTTCTGGGAATTAACCCCTTTCAGAAAGTCTCTGTAGTCATGTGTGCTCTACGTGACACTTTACTCTTGGTCACAAAGCATATTTCTTTCTGGTTTTGGTTTTGGAAAGAGGGTTTCGCGATATAGTTCAGGCTGGCCTTGAACTCACTGTATAGCCCAGGATGACTTTGATCTCACAGCAGTCCTCCTGCCTCAGCCTCAGGTGTGCACTGTCAAGCCAACTGCAAAGCATGTTTCTGAACCAGAGATGGTTTTGCCTCCTGGGGGACATCTGGTAATATCAGAAAATTTCTAGTTTTCATTGTAGGAAGGTGAGGAGACCATCTATTGGCACTAGTAGGATAGACCAGGGATACTGCTGAATAGCACACAGTACACATGGGGCCCCAACCACCACTGTCCAAACAGATGAGATTCATTCAGTATAAAATGTTGCATTAGCCAGGTTCAGTGGTGCACACCTGTGACTCCTGCTCTTATGGAGCCTGAGGCAACCTAGGCAACTTGGTGAGATTCTGTCTCTAGGAGAAAAAGAAAAGTCTATAGTGTGAAATAGAGAAATTTCAAAACAGGTGCAGACCTCGTAACAAGTGCTGAGGTAGTGAGATTCACTGCCCCAGAGAATTTATATGTGGGATCCAGTGCTACTGGTTACGCTATCTTAGGAACTTGAAACTGAACAGGTATTAAACCTAATTGAAGTTTCCTTTTTTGGACCACATATGTTAATAAGCAGAAATAACCAATCTTTAGGGACACTGAAGAATAAAGCAGCTATACAGAGAATTGGGAAAGAAAAAAAATGCTGTTTTTGTCATTTTTTACCTCCTGATTTTCTGGGCTTCATGAAGTCCAGATGCATCTGTACCCCAGCTTCCTTGAGAAACAGTATGCATTCTATGCAGTGAAGTGGAGTTTATTACTCACCACCAAGGAGAGAGTTCTTACTTATGAAAATTATCAGTTTATAGTTTATGTATCAAATAATCTGTCACAAAATTAAAGAATTCATCTAAATTTTAGGAGTAGAAATTAATGTTACTGTAACCCACAAGTCAGATGATGGTCACCATGCCTACTCTACAGAGCCTATTACATTTAAATTCAATACACAGGCACCTAAAACATTCATGTGCAGGTTTTAGTATTGTGCAGCACTGAGCTTTGTGACTTAAAATAGTTTCACTTTCAAGGAATTTCCTGTAAGTTAAAGAAGACAGTTATCATTAACTTAATTTTGCAGCTGGAGAATCAAGCTGAAGAAATGAGGAAAGGAGTTGTTAAATTTACAGAGCTAACAATTAAGATTTCAACCCCAGTATTCCAATCTCTAGAGATAATACTGTCTCGTGTTTACTGGAAAACGCAGTATGGTAACTGAGATTATTAGATTCAAAATCAGATGATACAAGCCTCAGCTATCTGTACTTTCCATCATGGGGCAGTAATCTCTAAATCTCAGTCACCACATCTATAAAATGAAGATACTCACATTTATCTCAGAGGGTTGCTTTATTCGGAATGAAATTGAGTACATTAATATGGGTGGAATGCTTGGATATTTTCTGGCACACGCAATGGAGCCAATAAATAAAGCTGATGCTTCAATAAACTAAAGCAGAGGTATTAGAAAACTTAATCCTTTTTTGAAATCTGAATGCCTGGCGGGGGGTGAGAACCCTTGTGGCCAGCTCCACCTGGTGAGGTCCACTGATACAGGTGTCCAGGAGGGAAAACCAGAAGTCTGGAGTGA